GCTATGCCATTATTTACCATTGGCAAATTAAGTATACGCAGCGTGCTCACGAGCCAAGTTGCCCAATAATTGCCTTGCAGTTGAATTAGCTGTTAACTTCGTGGCTCTTTGATATTTTCCGCATTGCATAACAGGGAACTGAATCAACTGCAATTGAAAAAAACAGCGCCATTTGTTACCAAACATTTGCCATTTGTTTTTGCCATTTTTTGTGTATTTATGAGCCTGTTCGGAAAGCGAAGAACAAATGGCCATAAATCAAGGGTCATATTCCGGCCACAGATAATGTTAGTAGCTATCATAAAACACTAAAAAAATAAAGTAGGAACTATAGGGCCACACGCATACATACCATTTAATTAAAGTAATTCAACTGCATTTTAAAGTCGCATGGGCTTAGAGTTCACTCACATCACGTATACGACATGCATGCTCATGCCGAAAGGAAAACGAGAGCGACAGCGCGTGTGGTATTTTAATTACAGACAGTCGCGCCATTAAAGGCTTTTATGGCTCTTCTTTACCAACAATTTTACTGCCAGCGACAAGCCAGAATAAATTTTATGCACTTTTTCACAACAAGGATCAAGCAGATGCGAGTAGTGGCATCAGGACGACGTCCAGAGCCGCAATCTGCATACAACTATAATCCAACGACGGTCAACTGCTTTTGCCAATAAATACTTAAACAGCGAACATTTTACGCAATTTCGAATATTTGAAATCGAATCTTTGTTGCTTTTTGCCTGCTCCACTAGACACCAGAGCTTAATTGCTTTTCTATTGAGATACTTTAAATGCTTTTGGCTTCGCTTTGCTTGTGTGATGCCATTGCCATGCAGACTTTTGTATAAATAATAAAAACGACCGATTGGATGAGTAAAGAGTGAAAATATTTATAATATACAAAGCTGTTATGGGCAAATTTTCGCGTAGTGGCATAACAAATTTATAAATAGACGAATTTTCCTATTTTATCGACAGATACAAACTAACGAGAGGCTTACGTTTTTTTTAGTAGGTGCTGGAAATATATTAAAATTAAATTTGGAAATCGTTCGTAAAAAGTTGAATTACGTATTTTTATTTTTAAAGGATTGAGGTTCTTCATTGTTAAAGCACAAAAGTGGGTGTTTTTTAACACAATCAATTTTTGCATGCTTCATTTAGTATTTTTTCTGCTTTCATTTCGTTCAATATCGCCAATAGTTCTCGATTTGCATAGCCCATTAAGTGTCGCAAGTTGCCTGTAAATGGGGAGGAGTCATGGAAACGGTGCGTACATCCTTCGACCGGTCCTTTAAGTGGCACTTTAATTTTAACGAGGGCTTAATGTGCCTTTAATTACGAGATCCGCCTGTACCGCGCCCTTGGGTCGATTGAATGTTTGCCGTTGAAATAGAGATTAATGGCTGGGGCGGAGGTGCCGGACCGGAAAAGCGGACGTTATTCATATACGATCTCGTTAAACACAAACGAGGTTACATCCTGGCATTTCAGGTCCTTCGTTTTGTCTTTTATTTACCCCTAGGTGGGCTAGTCCATCCATCCAGTTGGGCCGTTTTCTGCCTCGTCCCTGACAAAATGCAATATTAATCATGTCGAGAGCACTTCCGATTGCTGAAATTCCGGCTGATTTCCCACAGCACCGTTCAGGAGACAGCCAATTCAATTATCAGCTAATGAAGTAATTTCGCCAGGTCACCATCGAAGTATGCTTCAACAGGTTTTGTGGTCATAAAAGTGTGCCTCCAGCAAATTGGGAAAATATTCCATACGACTGCCATTTTAGATGTCTGATAGCGAGCGTAAACACTTAAACATGAGAATGTCAATCCTGTCCCTTATTTTTTGGTTGTGCCTACTGACCGCAGGATTTTATGGTGTTTTGCAGGATAGGCAATTATTTTTTATTGGCCGACCAGCATGTAAGTGCATATAAATGGAAATCACCATCCGAAAAATTCATGCGCCCGTTTTTCTTCTTCATTTGCCATAAATAATTGATTTTTTTTACAAAAATTAAAACCAATTAGCTTAATAGCTTTTATAAAAATTCAGTGAGACATTTGTTGTTACTCAGCCTTAAACAAAGCCATGTATATAAATTTTAGAGAAGCTGGAGAAGCGTTTAAATTTAAGTTGCTTTTATTTTGCTTACAAATGGCTTGCTTTGCACCCCCTTCGCTGCTAAAAGAGGCAAATAAGTTTGCCTGGCCCACGGCCAACTATTCATACACTGAACAAAACTACCTAAAATGTTTTCACATTTAATACAAGTGTATTATTTTTGTAATATAAATTTTGTTATATTTTTTGAAAATTTTCATTTTTAATAAAGTTAAGTTAAATAAATTACAAATATTAAAGCAATATTATTAATACGTTTTTCTTCTTAATAGCATCATTGCATCAGAGTACCTTACCAGAAATGTGCAATCCCTAAGTGCCACATTTCCTAAAACCTTTTTTTGGTCTCCAAATACAATAATGAAGGCTGAGTCACATTTCTTGGAGTGCAGACCTCTGTGGCATGGGCAAACTTTATGGCACACAGGGGCATAGACAAAGGCCAAATGAGATGGCTTGCAGTGGTAAGAGACTCCAGTCGGATGGCCAATTTGGACGCCTGCAGCTGTTACAGTTTCAGATCCAGAAGTTAGTCGTCTGCTTGATTCGACCCGATGTTCATTATCTCGTCTCAATTGGGCCTCGTACAATGCATTAATAGTTGGGCGTCCCAGACAAGGCAATTGTAGTGCGACCTTGGCGTGTGGCGGTTAAACGGTTCTTAAAGATTCCGGCAAACTGATATTTAACCTTAAATCGCCGCTGACCCGGGTCATTTACGACCGAAATCAAATCGAAACAGTCGCATATAAAGATAAATCGTTGCCATGGCGGTGGCAGGTTATTGGGGGCCAACTTGAACTTTCATTGTTGCTGCAAAATATTGTCATTTATTGTGCGAGTGATAGCGATAATTCAGCGATGCCGAATCGGAATTTATGCAGTCCCATGAGCCACAGCCCAGGACATGTCGTCATCATTTTTTTCCGTTTTTGCGTATTGGCCTCGGGTCATTTGAGTGATTCTGATTGAGTTTCGAGCCTCCTCCTAATCGGTTACACAGCGCTATCAATTCCACTCGTATACAATTTCGGAAAGTGTCCTGCTTACGTCAGATCTTGTCAACAAAAGCCTTGTTTAATGTCTTTCCTGCTGGCCACAGAGCGTAAACACTTTTGGTCATATAAAATCCGACCCAAACGGAATTAAGCAAACACTAGCGCTCCGTTAGTTGTTTCCGGTTCCGCAATTTCATTGGTCGCCCAGCCTGAAAGTATGCAATGAAATGTCTCCCTCGTGTGGGATAATAAACACATAAATATGGACAGACTTTCTCCTCAAGGTCGAAATCGGGCAATCAACGGATTTACTTACAATCGAAGCCAATCATGTGCGTGTGCCGAGAAACAAGCCATAAAAATTCACATAAAATATAATTGAAAGTCTAGTGCCTTTTTGAATAACTTGGCCTGTGGTCTGTTTCAGCCCATTGGCACATAAGGAAAATACATTTTTCTTCTCCTTAATCGTATACTTGATTTTTTCCATAACAAACTTGATCTGAAGTCGAACTTTAAAGTAAAAAGAGTCATAATATTCAGATTAGACATGCAGGCTCAGCTCACACTTTAAATTCAATATTTTACATTCGTCTACCCTCGAAGCACTCAAAAAGTATCAATTATACATACGTGTGCGGTATGGAGTTAAAAATATAATTTCTAGTTGTTATTTACATCAATCATTGCACTCATTAGAAAATTCCCTAACTAATGAGTGTTTAATCTTACCACTTACGACTTCAGCTCAAAGCATGTGCAAATAAAGAGCTGCACGGGGGAGACGTTATTATTTGTTTAACATTATTTTCTTTAAAATCTACACGAAAATAGTAGAACAATGCATTTCCATTTAGTCTTGCGGCATGTGTTCATAAACAATTGCAGAAGCATTCAACAAATTTCCTTGGTCTCCTTAAGACAATAGTACCCCAGACTTGGAGTTCGTATAAATAGGGGATTTATCGGAAGAAAGGGTAGTTCTGGATCAAGCAGAGTAAGACTATCACGAAATCACCATGCAGTTTTCTACTTTCCTAATGGCAAGCTTGGTGGTTTCCCTACTCATGTTGTTCACCACTCCGGCAACTGAGGCCACCTTCCTCCTGATTGCCTGCATGTTGCGGTCACCAATGTGCCCGTGGATTACCGCCGCCACAACCACCACCAAAAAAAGCGCAGGCAGTCCCGCAACCGGTTCTAAGAGCGACTCCGGAACAGGCAAATAATAGTAAACCACAGGACATATATATAATATTTAGAAAATGAAAATAAAAAAAAACATTTTATTTACACTAGAGTAAACTATCTCGATCTGGGGAACATATTCTACTAATAGCAGAAATATTACGCCAAAACTTAAAAAAGGATAACCATAAATAATCCTATTCACCACTGCATATTGTGGCAGTGGCTCTGCTATTGATCCTGATCAAGTATATATATACTTTATGTGGTCGGAAACGCTTCCTTCAGCCTAAATACATTTATAGGTGTTATTCGCATCAAACTCGTTACAAAATGTCATGACGATTGTACGTAGTCCTAACTTTGCCAAAACAAATACTATTACAAAATCATTGTTTCATATAAATCATCTTACCATATAACAGGCATTTACCGGCCACCGACTTCAGATGAAAGCATGTGCAAATAAATAGCTGCACGGGTGAGGCATTACTATTTGCTTAACATTATTTTGTTTAAACTCTACATGAGAACAGTAGAACAATGCATATATATGCATTTAATCTTGCGGCATGTGTTCATGAACAATTGCAGAAGCATCTAAGCAAATTAGCTGGGTCTGTTTAAGACTATAGTACCTCAGACTCGGAGTTCGTATAAATAGGGGGTTTATAGGAAGAAAAGGTAGTTCTGGATCAAGCAGAGTAAAACTATCACGGAATCACCATGCAGTCTTCCACTTTCCTGATGGCCATCTTGGTGGTTGCCCTGCTCATGTTGTTCACCACTCCGGCAACTGAGGCCACATTCTTCCTGATCGCCTGTATGTTGCGGTCACCACTTTGCCCGTGGATTACCACCACACCCGCCGCAGCCGCCTCTTAAGGAGTCGGTAATGGTACCGATAAGACCCAGGACATATATATTTGGAAAATGAAAATAAAATAAACCATTTTGGTTGCACTACAGTAAACCGTTTCGTTCTGCTGAAAATATTCTACAAAGACTCTCCTGACCAGAGATAGAAAAGGAGACCCACAGGCAGGCACAAAAATCAAGCAATTCGATGTGTAGTACTGAAAATTTCATAGCAAGTGGGTGGAAGTGAACATCCCGCTAGGCTGTGCTAATGCATGTTGCTCACATCTGGTAATTGGGCTGACTAAGATTTCCTTGATAGGCTCGGACTTTGCGGGCAGAAGGTGGAAAGAGCCTAAGAGCAAGGCTACCGAGGGCGCGCCATAAATCTTTCGGCGCTCATCAGAAAAATCGGTCCTTTTAAGCACCAGTCCAAAGAGAGTTCCACGCGGAAAATTGTTGCTGCAGACAAACCCTTGGCGGCATCCCCTTGTTGGCGGAGACCGCAAGTGGGCAAGAACAGGGTAAATCCGTATAACCACATCAACAACCTTAACATTGGCACAATATTGGAACGGCAGCCGCTAAAATTGGTCACAAACCGCGACTGCATCGCAAATCCCAACAAAAGAATATTATATCTTTATTTTCTTTATTTAAAGTAAATAACCATAATTTAAGTTTGATTAAGTTAAGCCGAACTACTTGAAAACAATTCGAAAGCGGCAAGCGCGGATAAAAGAAAGAACAGCTCGATTGCGTAGCGAAGCGAACATAAAAAGTATAAAAATGTATGTTGGTTTGGCGACACTAGCGCAGATCACTTTTGGAGCCATAAATATTTTCTTCTCACAGCTGCATCTAAACATTTAGTTTTAGCCGACTAAAAGTATCTTGCAATGCAAGCCGCCTTGCTTAGATTAGAAGTTCTCCGGTCGAATGCTTCGCGCAAACTGAAGCCAAGAAAGAAAAGATAAGCAGCCCGCAGATGCGAGTTTTTTTCGCACCTGAGAGCCTGGTAGCGCATCCGAGTTGCGAGTTATGTTTGGCAAGTAGTTTGTTTTCAGATTGTTTTTGAGTAGAAGTGCAGTAAGGTGTATTAGGTGAATTTGTAATATTTGTCAATGTGCGCAAAGCAGACTATAATCAAGGTGCAATATTCAACCCACACCTATTAATTAAAGTGTGCGTTGCACTTAGATAGTATATTCCAGCAGCCTAATAACGTTGTACGCTACAGACGGCCAATATTATTAATGCTATCAGTCTCATTACTTATTACTTTACGTTATGCTAAATTAACTTGGATAGATGCATTTTCGTTATTTACCGCAGAAATGCGCTCCAAATTCAAACATAATTTCAAGCTACTAAGAATTAAACTTTAGTTGTGGGGTCTCGTTAATCGATCGTTAATACTTATTTCGTTTGAATGTATGTAAGCTGTAATGGAAAGCGATATGCATATAAAGCATATCTATTCTTAATCTGAAGAAAACTGCTAAGAAAAAGCATTAAAAAGTGCCACGCCCATACTTGGAAGGTAAACACTATCGACGATCACGCACTCACAAACTTTACCGGCCACCGACTTCAGATGAAAGCATGTGCAAATAAATAGCTGCACGGGTGAGACATTACTATTTGCTTAACGTTATTTTGTTTAAACTCTACATGAGAACAGTAGAACAATGCATATGCATTTAATCTTGCGGCATGTGTTCATAAACAATTGCAGAAGCATCTAAGCAAATTAGCTGGGTCTGTTTAAGACTATAGTACCCCAGACTCGGAGTTCGTATAAATAGGGCGTTTATTGGAAGAAAAGGTAGTTCTGGATCAAGCAGAGTAAAACTATCACGAAATCACCATGCAGTCTTCCACTTTCCTGATGGCCATCTTGGTGGTTGCCCTGCTCATGTTGTTCACCACTCCGGCAACTGAGGCCACATTCTTCCTGATCGCCTGTATGTTGCGGTCACCACTTTGCCCGTGGATTACCACCACACCCGCCGCAGCCGCCTCTTAAGGAGTCGGTAATGGTACCGATAAGACCCAGGACATATATATTTGGAAAATGAAAATAAAATAAACCATTTTGGTTGCACTACAGTAAACCATTTCGTTCTGCTAAAAATATTCTACAAAGACCAGAGATAGAAAAGGAGTGTAGTACTGAAAATTGTTGTTCAGTAACTCATGTTGTTCAGCTCTCCGGCAACTGAGGCCACCTTTTTCATAATCGCCTGCTTGTCGCAGTCACCATTCTGCCCGTGGATTACCACCAGACCCGCCGCGGCAGCCTCCAATAAAACTGCATAATGAAAAGGTAAGAAAACTATTTTAGTTACATTGTAGTATAACATCTTGGTCAAGGAAAGTTATCAAACTAATATTGTCAAAAAATATAGGAAAGGAACGGCAATATTTTAAGAGTAGCCTTAATTATCAATAAAACTGTCGCTTTAAGAAAACAATTTAAAAGAATTATTTTTTCACTTGTATTTTCTTCAAAAATATCATAAGCAATCACAATTCTTCGTTCACATTTGAAATGCTTTTGCTGCACTAGTTAGCTAAGACTATGTTCACTTCCATTGGTAGTTTTTACATTACTGATATTTTACAGGGTGCCAATGGCCGAGTTCCCGACTCATTGAATGCGGTTTGTGACGGTAGACTGTTGGACGTAATTGGCCAACCATTCGCCGACCTGGGCCTTGTTGACCGCTAGCCATTTGATGTTTGCCTTCACAGCTTCCAAAGCCTGTTGGCGGGCGGCAGTTCCGGCTCCAGCCTCGGGATATTTGGCAAAGAACTGCTGCATCTCTTCCAGCTTGGTTTCTGTGGAGAAACGGGCAGTGATCGTGGGGATCAGTCGACCCAAGGTGCGTTCATTGATGCCGAAATGCTCCACCAACTTCTCCCAGTTCTCACGCACGTAATCCCACACAAGGCTCTGGCCCACCGGATTGGTGGATATGTACCCCAGCAGGGTGAAGTAGTCCTGTCGCCGCACATTGCTCTCATCCCAGGCCCAGTTAATGTATCGCTGCAACAGCCAAGGCACCTGCACGGCGGTTAGGCAGTTCATCAGCTTCAGCTTCTCCTGGGCATCGCTCTCTTCCAGATACAGCTTCCACACTTGATCCCAGGCAGCCTCCGTGTTCACCTGTTGCATACCATAGTAGTAGACCACGTCTCGGATATCCGGACTGGGTCGGCTCTCGGGGTTGGCCAGCCACTGGTTGAACAGCGTGACCGACTGTTGCAAGGAGCTCTCATGTCCCAAACTGCTGGCTGAGCTCAGCACCTTTATGCGGAGACGACTGTAAAATAGAACGAATTATATAAGAGTAAGAGCGCCAGTGAGTAAAATTAATTAGCTTAAAATCTTACTTTTCCAGATGATCGGCACCCACGGTAAAGGTTACCTTCTCTACGATGGGCGTAAGCAGTTTACGGGCGTAAGTGGTAAAGTTAGTGTACAAATCCGTGTAGTATACGCGGTTCCTTAACGTAGCCAGTGCGGAGGTGCCCACGCTCCAGGGCACGTAGTCCTGCTCGCTCTCCAGGTAAGATATCAGATCCAATGCCACGGAGTAGCTGAGCTGTCCGGCAGCGGCCAAGGTATTCGCATCGTTCAGCAGATGAGCGCGATCGGCGGTGCTGAAGGTTTCCCGGGAATTCTTCAGAGCAGAAATAAGTTCCGACCACTGATTGCTATCGTAGTTCACCCGGTAGAAGCCCACTTGATTTGTGTTAATCTTAATCCAGCTGGCTTCTCCCGGAAGCGTAATGGTGGCCTCATTGTCATTGTGATTGAATATTAATGATTGGACTTCACTGCTGATGCTGCTCGTGTAGGTAATGGGAATCGACCAACGGTAGCTGTTGAAAGAAGTATTGTTAAAGAAAGACGTTCAAGATAGTTTTTTAAAAAACCTAATCAGATTTTAATGATTCTACTTACTTGAAGGACGATGCTTCAGCTTCGGCTGCGTAGTCATCTTCGTTGGCCAGGAAACGCTTTTGGGTGAGCTTATAAGTGCTGCCACTTTTCTCCACCTCCACAACCGGAAGTCCCATCTGCTCTGTCCAGGTTTGCATGATCTGTCTGCAGATTACGCAAAAGATCTTAAATACGGAATTCACTTCCTATCAAGCATATATTCCACTTACTTCACGTCAAAGTCCAGGCCCTCCTCCTCCTCGACGGCGGTGAGGTAGTCCTCAGTGGTGGCTGTATTGTATATATGGCGCACCAAGTAGCGGGTGGTTGCGTTCCTCAGCTTTTCCTCGCCGACCAGATTCTCGAGCATGCGAACCAAGGCGGCTCCCTTGGAGTAGGTAATGGTATCGAAGTACTCCGTGATCTCGGCTGGACTCTCAATAGACTTGACAATTGGATGGGAGGCTAAAGTGGCATCAATAGTCAGCACCGGGTGCAGTTCCTCAATCACAAACTGATTGTCCATATCCCACTCCGGATGCATTTGCTTTACTCCCTTGTACTCAAGGAAAGATGCGAAGCCCTCGTTTAGCCACAGGTCGTTCCACCAGTTCATAGTTACCAGGTTTCCGAACCACTGGTGAGCCAACTCATGGGCCACGACGACGGCCACACGCTGCTTATTCACGCTGGAACTGGTAGATTCGTCGTACAGAAGGGCCGTCTCCCGGAACGTGACCAATCCCCAGTTTTCCATCGCACCGGACACGAAATCGGGTATGGCAACCAGATCCAGTTTGGGTAGCGGGTACGACACATTGAAGTAGTTGATGTAGTAGGCAGTCACTCCGGCCGCAGTGTCCAGGGCGTACTGGGTTTTCTCCACCTGTGCTGGTGGCGCATAGACCTTCAGTGCGATGCTGGTTCCCTCCACAGTGGTTTCCTTGTATTGAAAATCAGACACCACAAAGGCGGCCAGGTAGGTGCTCATGGGCACAGTTTCTGCGAAAGTCACCTCGGTGATATCGCCATCGACAAACTCTCTGGCCACCGGCATGTTGGAGAGGACGTGGTACTCATCTCCACTGGGACGTGCCACCGTTATAGTGAACTGGGCCTTCAGGGCGGGCTCATCGAAGCAGGGGAAGGCTTGACGGGCATAG